TGGATTGGTTTGGTCCTCTTCTGTCAAACGGGCATCGTTGTCAAATTCTCTTGTCTCTCTCGAGCGTTTGGCGAATTTTTCTCGAAGTGTTTGTCCCTTTCGGCTGATGTGCTCTTCCTTCTGATCATTGTCAAAACAAAGTCCCTAGTCTCTTCGAGCAGTGTGCTCCCGTTTTATCAGACGTCCTTGTCCTTTTCGACGGGTCTGCCCCGTTTCTCAAACTATCCTCGCTGTCACTCTCTTTTTTCTGCAATGTTGTCCTCCTTCCAAATAACCGAGTCCCTTTCGAGCGGTTTTGGCCCTTGTCTCTCAAACTTGTCTGGGTTCTGGTCCCCTTCCATCGGTTTGATCCTGTTTGCCCATGCTTTTCGTCTCCTTCGAGCGGTTTGCTGCTCTTTCTCAAAGCTACATGTCTCTTTCGAGCAGCTTGCTGCTGTCTCTCAATTTCTAGTCCCTTTCGACAGGTTTGCACCTCTTTCGCAAATTCTCTCCGGCTTGTTCCGCCCACACCCGTCCCAAATGAAATCAGACAACAGGAGACACGCGTGAAAACCCCGGCACCCCGGCTTTGGCCACCCACCCACAGCGCGAAGACAGCGGCATCAACAAGAACCCCTGCAGTCCCAGACTAAGCTGTTTGGGGAATGAAGTAAAGCAAGAGGACACAAGGGTTGCAAACACCAGCGACCCCAAGCAGTCCCAAATGAAGGGAGACACAGCAGACGACCGTTACCCTAAACTCCTGAATCCTACTGGTAAAAACCTGAACACCTGTTCGCAAACCCTCAACCCTACACCCTGATCCCCTGAACAGCCCTTTAGCAGCCTTTTTTGAGCCTCGCTCTAGAACAACTAAAACACCCTGACACTATAAAACTTGGTTTTGTACTCCCCCGAATCTAAAAACCCTGCAAGCNNTCCCCCCCCCCCCCCCTCCCCATACAAACCCCTGCAAACCCCGTACAAGAACCCTTGCAAAAAGCCCTTCGAAAACCTTACATCACTCCGGCGCTCCCCCTTGTGCCCCTGTGCCCGGCGCCTCCCGTGTGCGCTTGGCCTCGGTCAGGCGCTGAATGTCGTTGCGGCCTCAGGGAGCAGTATCTTTACGCAAGGGGTTTCCGACTTCTAAGGCGGACATCTGAGGGCGTTATGCAATCTTCATGGCGGTGTTTTAAGGGTGGTTCTGGGGGTCTCATAAAGCAGTCTCTTGTTGGGGGATCCTTGTTCTGAAGCATCCTACCCTGTACGGATGCTTGTGCCTGCAATCTACCTTGCTGCTCAGTCGTAGCGATACTACCATGACCGACGACACCTAACGCTAGCAAGCGATGATCTTCAGACCATTCAGATTTCGCCGCACCTGCTTCGTATCTGCATATCTGCTGGCACATGTTTTTCTCGTTACCCACGCAACGACTGTTTTCAAGATTTGAGTCTTCAAGTGCTGCTGATGCTGCTTCTACGGCTGCTGCTACACTGCTAGCATTGCTGTTAAGACTACCACCACTGCCACAAGTGCTAGTGACTGCTAGTGCCAGTGCTGCTGTGCTGCCACTGCTGCTGCTGCTGCTGCTGCTGCTGCTGCTGTGACTCTCTACTACTCCTGCGGTAGTGCCTAAGATTTCTACTGGGACTACTTGCCGCACAAGATTGAATCGTTCCTTTGCCCACATGTCTTGGCGTTCATGCTGCGTTAACAACGCTTTCAACAGAAGATGCAATGTTGCACTGGTCACTAGTTGCGCTTCCTGCAAGTTGCTTGAACGGGGAATCCATCACCGAACTCGAAGACGTCAAACCGTTGCATGCGACCTGCTCTTCACACCCGACATCTCAGAAAGCTCGAAACGTGAAGCTACGTGGAGTGTGGAAGACCCCACTGTGGACCCTGAAGCCCTAAATAGAAGGATGCTTATCTTCCCGGTCCAGACCTCCGCCGAAGCTGCCGCCACCACCAAAATCGCGCCCTCCACCACCGAAGTCTCGGCCATAGCCCTGGTAGAGGGTTCAGGCTTAGGGGGTTAGGATGATTTAGGGCTTAAGAATTTAAGCTTCTCTACGGTGTAAGGGTTTCGGAGATTGGGATAGTATGGGGTTTAGGAGTTAAGGGGGACTTAGGATCCACCACAGTAGGGCTTGGGGGCTCCCAGGGGCTGGGGTGGCCTCTTAGCGGGTTTGTGTCCTTCTGGCTTGGTGTGGGCTGCGGCTATGGCTGCTTCAGGGTCGAGCTGTTGTCGTGTGCTTTGGCTGGATGGGCTTTCGCGTCCGGCGAGGTGGACAAAGCGGGCCAAAGGAAGGGTTATGAAGTCGAACAAGACCAAAACCAAACGGTACTAGTGCTGGGCTGCCTTTGCTCGGGCTTCTTGCTTCTTGAACACTCGCTTTGGAGCTAGCTTGGCTAGCACAGCAGTCGATGATGAGACTGTGACAGTTCGGGCTTCGAAGGCCAAACCTGAGCTGCGTTAGACAGTACAGCTGCGCAGCCAGTAACAGCAAGCTGAACAATTTTCAATTTTCAGGAATACGCGCATGTAACGAGATGCACCTGCTGTGAGGCTCTCAGGTATTGCCCTATTCTCACTCCGGGGATCCTGAGACCTATACACCCTGAAACCTGGGGCCCCAAAGCCCAAAACAGAATCACTGGAAAGGAAGCCCACACACCTTCCCCGTGTCGCCGGCCTTTCCGCCTCTGCCCATGCCCTGAGGCTCAATCTCTGTGGGGTGTTGGGTTTGGATGTCTATGGACCTAAGTCCGAAGAGGTTGAAATCATGCACAACAAGAAGCGATCTCTAGAGCACAGAGTAAGACAGCAAGCCCAA